GATTTCGATTGAGTTTGATTTGATTTGATTTTGATTTTTTTTTTTCTTAATTTATTTTTTTTCCCCCCCCAAGTCATCGTTCGCGTTTTTATTTTCTGCGTTTTCTATTTTTATTTTTTCTTTTTCACCTTTTGGGGGATTTGCAAACCGAATTACATGCATGTCCAGTGGGGGAAGGTTTAATTTTGACGATGGAGGGTCGTACTGTGGAGGCTGGGAGGGCGGAAAGGCTCATGGCCACGGAATCTGTACCGGCCCGAAGGGTCAAGGTGAATATTCGGGCTCCTGGAGTCATGGCTTTGAGGTGCTGGGGGTCTACACTTGGCCCAGCGGCAACACTTACCAGGGCACCTGGGCGCAGGGCAAGCGCCATGGCATTGGCATGGAGAGCAAGGGGAAGTGGGTGTACAAAGGAGAGTGGACCCACGGATTTAAGGGACGGTACGGGGTCCGCGAATGCACTGGAAATGGGGCCAAGTACGAAGGCACCTGGAGCAATGGATTACAGGATGGCTACGGGACAGAGACCTACTCGGATGGAGGTAGGTGCTGCATTGATACCTTTGGTGGTGGTGGTGGTGAGGGGGGTGCAGACCCTGGTTTTGGGCTGGGACCTGTGAGTTTGCAACCTGCTTGCTGGGAGTGAGGGATGCTCCGGCCCCCCAGGAGATGAAGGACCAGCCCAGTGTGGCATCAGCCCAGCTCTTTGCCACAGGTAGCCACATATGTTCAGCGGGTCTCTGGGTGCTGGGCCCTCCCCTGCCCCCCATTCTCCTCAGCCAGGCCTTTTTTTGGGGAGGGGAGCAGGCTGTGCTGGTGGGGGGGTGCCCAGCTCTCACCCAGGGTGGGTGGGAGGATGGGGTGGGCCGAGGCACCGGGAGATGACCCAAGTTGCACATGGGATTCGCAGTTGCGACTGCACCACTGGAACCTGTCGGATTTGCATCGAAGCGACCCAAAAAGGGGGGGATCCAGGGCAGATGGGTGCAGCAAACGGTTCCAGCGAGAGGCTGGGGTCTTCTCATGCCCCGCAGCCCCTCCAGACGCGGCCCCGTGCTCCGTAATGCCAGGCAAAAGACTTTAATTCAGACAAGAGTCTTACATTCCTAGTTTACGGCTTAATGCTTAGCGTAGGGGCTCAGAGGGATCACCAAAGCTATTCTCTGCCGTCAACGCGGCTTAACGAGATGTGGAGGGGAAACTGGGATTAAATAAAAAAACAAGAAAACCCAATTGGAGCGATGAGAGAGGAAAAAAAACAACAACCCAACCAACAAAAAAGAAAACAAATTGCTGGACTAACAAGCTTTAAGGCCGAATTAGGAGAAGCAGCTGGTGCTGTGCTGTAAGTGGCTGTATCATCCTCTCGCATGTTTTGTGGCTAAATCCTCCCCCCATTGCCCCCACCATAA